AAAAAAAAAAAAAAGAAAGAAAAGCTTTGCCAGCCCATTCAGATTGGGCTTGAATGACTACCTTTACTTTTTTGGTTGCAAGAAGCACTGAAGTAGCTAGAGCCTCTAACATTATAACATTTATAATTATCTAGCACTTTCTATGTGCTGGAAACTGTTTTAGCCACTTTAAAAATATTTGCTCATACCTGGGTGCTGTGGCTCATGCCTGTAATCCTAGCATTCTGGGAGGCCAAGACAGGTGGATTACTTGAGCTCAGAAGTTCAAGACCAGCCTGAGCAAGAGTGAGATCTCGTCTCTACTAAAAATAGGGGGAAAACCCCCAAATCTAGCAGGGTGTGGTGGGGGGTGCCTATAGTTTCAGCTACTTGGAAGGCTGAGGCATGAGGATCACTTGAGCCCGAGAGTTTGAGGTTGCTGTAAGCTATGATGCCATGGCACTCTACCCAGGGTGACAGAGTGAGACTCTGACTCAAAAAAATAATAAATGAAATAAGTAAATAAGTAAATAAAATCAAATAAATGAAATAAAATAGTTACTCAGTTGTATCAGCATTTTATATATTTGGAGATTGAGGCACAGTGAGGAGAAGTTACTTGCCCAGAGTCATCCATCTACTATATAGTACAGCCAGGATTTGAACTCCAACTATGGGCTGCACAGAATGCATTCCTAACCCTGACACTGTGTTGTCCCAGTGGGTTTGGACTGAGTTTCAAGGTCTTGGTTTACTAATTCTGTTTGGTTCTGGACAAGGTGTGTATATAGTCCCCTCTTGAGTATAATGTCTACGGTGCAGCCTCTGAAGCTGCCTGAGAGGCCCTGAAGCCTGAGGAGCTCAGTTCAAGGCCTGGATCATTTCCCTGGAACAGGTTATGAAGGCACCAAACCAGATGTGATCCTCAGGCTGGAGCAGGAAGAAGCACCATGGATTTGTGAGGTGGCATGCCCAGGCTGCCACTGTTGGGGTAAGTGTGACAAGTCTAGCAAAAAGGGTACTGTGGAGACTGGCACCTTTGAAATTTTATTCAGGATCTTTCTTTTGAAAGCTTTGATGTTTTTGTGAGAGCTCCAGCCTTCCTAATGATGCATCATCCTGCATGCCTGTCATCCCCCGTGTCTGGGTGTTCCTCCTGCCTCTCCTTTAAATCTCACCTCTGCCCTTACATGCTTGGTCCATTTCCCCAGAATTGTTCACATTTGGGTATTTTTGCAAATAAGCATCTATTCTCCTGTTTCTGCTGGTCCTTTCCTATTCTCTGTTCCAACACTTTCCAGGTGAAATGCTCCAGTCCTACCTGCCATATCCAGTCTTACTCACTACCATTATTTCCTCAATTTCTCTGCTCAGATTTAAATCATTCCATAGACAGGTGACTATGAGATCACAGAGGAGGAAGCTGAGAGCTCACCATTGGGTGGGGAGGTGACCAGGAGGGCTGGGTCATGAAGGAGATGGCTAAACTGGGCCCTTCTTAACCACTTCTAATTAACACTCAGAGTAACTGCCCCACTCCCATAGCTCGGTATTAAGATATCCCGGTAATACCCATTGTACCTGAGGGTTGGTGGCCCACTGTCAGGGTTGCCTCTGAACTTCTGCTTCTTAGAGTCATGTGCTTAACAAGAGTCAGTCCTGTCTTTTCCTAGAGCTCTTTGTGCCATTTATGTTTTGGTATTTATAATCATACGATTGAATTTAATATTATATAAACCAAAAACCATTCGTATCTTTTGCATGCTTTTTGTCAAAATGATGTCTTTGAAATTATCACCATCCAGCTTTCCGTAGCTGTAGCATCAGCAGGATTAGAATTATTGATTAACATCAGTGTGTGCCTTGGTCTGTTCTGACTACTTTACATACATGGACCAATGTAACCCTTACAATGCTGTGAGGTAGCCAGCCTTTATTACCATATTTGCAAACGAGAAAACAATCCGAATGTTAAGAAACTTACCTAGGAACACACATAAGTGAGAGATGAGCAGAATTTGAAGGCAGGTCATCAGGTTCCAAAACCAGTGCTTTTACCTGCTCCTTTCTGGTACCCACCAGCATGTTTCTGCTCCATTAGAGTGTGTTCATCAGCCTTCCTGAAACCATGGTAGTTTGGCTATCAATTGCTCTTCTCTTTTGAAAAAGGTATAATGCAAATTCCACAAAAATTTATCTAGTCAGTCCTCCTTTTTTATTTGAGACAAAGTCTTACTCCGTATCCTGAGTAGAGTGCCATGGTGTCATAGTTCACAGCAACCTCAGATTCTTGGGCTCAGCCTCCCTAGTAGCTGGGACTATAGGCATCCATCACAACACTTGTCTATTTTTAGAGATGAGGGCTCACTCTGGCTCAGGCTGGTCTCCAACTCCTGAGCTCAAGCAATCCACTTGCCTTGGCCTCCCACAGTGCAGGGATTATAGGTGTGAGCCACTGCATCCAGCCCAGTTTTCTTTTCTAAGTGCTCTGTCTTCCTATTTCCCTGGTTGATGCATTTTCTGTTTCCCATAATTCAGTTCTCTTCCCAGTGGTGAAACTCCCTAAGGAGTTCATTAATTCTGAGAGCATGTGATAATTACGACTGGCCCCTTTGTCCAGTTGGGCACTTTGTCCCTATCGCACCACCACTTCCCCATTTTACTGGGCTGTAGATCATCTCCACGGAGTATCCACTTGTCTTGTTGTTTGTATAGGCAGTCCCCGAGTTACAATCATTTGATTTATGTATAAGTCACACTTACAAACAGGGGCTATTATAGTAAGTCCCCAAGTTACAAACATCTGACTGATGTATGACTAATAGTTACGAATGGAGGCTATTACAGATAATAGGTAAATGTACGTGTGCCATCTTTTTTTTTTTTTTTTATCTTTGAACATCTTCTTTATTCAGAAACTTGAGCGTACCTTTCGCACCACAGGGCTAGAGAGGGTCTACTCTGAACATTTCATGCTTCACAGTAAAGAAAAACACCATCATTCCCCAAATCCATGAGCAAGTGAAAATTTTTAGGATTTCTTTTTTTGAGACGGTATCAAGCTATTACGTGTGCCATCTTACATACAAATTCAACTTAAGAACAAACCTACAGAACCTGTCTCATTTGTAACCCAAAGAGTGCCTGTACAACAAAAACTAACATCATCCTTATCAGTCCTTATTGTCCCTGCGATAGAGAGACACACACTCACACACAGACACACACATACTCCTCACTTTGCTTTTTATTACAGTGCTTTGCCACCATGTAGTCACTTTGAATCTTCTGCCTCTGCCACTCTCTCTAATTTTCTTTCTTTTCTTTTTTTTCTTTGCGGCAGAGTCTCACTCTTGTCGCTCTCAGTAGAGTTCTGTGGCTCACAGCTCACAGCAACCTCCAACTCTTGGGCTTAAGCAATTCTCTTGCCTCAGCCTACTGAGTAGCTGGGACTACAAGTGCCTGCCACAATGCCTGGCTATTTTTTTTTTTTTTGAGACAGAGTCTCAAGCTATTGCCCTGGGTAGAGTACCATGGCTTCACAGCTCACAGCAATCTCCAACTCCTGTGCTTAAGCGAGTCTCCTGCCTCCACCTCCCAAGTAGCTGGG